GCCCGGCAGGACCATCGTGGCGGCGGGCTCCGTGGAAGAGGCGGTGATCTTGCCATTCCGCATCCCTCCTCCCCCTCTGGCATCCGTGGATTTGGACGAGGATTTTATTTTTACAGAGCCATTGCCTCCCCCCCTGGAATTTGCAAATAGTTTTGATATCCCCGATGACCGCATCGCTTCCGTCCCCGCCCTCACGGACTTGGTCAAGCAGAAGAAACACGACGCCTCCCAGCCCCCTCCGTTGAACCCCAGCCAGCCGGCCAACTGTGCGGACGGTAAGAAGCCGGCCGGCCTCTCCAACTGCCTGCCCGCCTCGTTCCTGCCACCCCCCGAGAACTTTGACGCCGTGACGGACTCTGGGATCGAGGAGGTGGACAGCCGGAGCAGCAGCGACCACCACCTCGAGACGACCAGCACCGTGTCCACGGTGTCCAGCATGTCCACGCTGTCATCCGAGGGCGGGGACAACGTGGACACCTGCACGGTCTATGCGGACGGGCAGGCGTTTACGGTGGACAAGCCCCCGGTGCCTCCGAAGCCAAAAGTCAAGCCCATCATTCCCAAAAGCAACGCGCTCTACCAGGACGCGCTGGTGGAAGAAGACGTGGACAGCTTCGTCATCCCTCCCCCGGCGCCCCCGCCCCCGCCGGGCAGCGCCCAGCCTGGGGCCGCGAAGGTGACGCCGCCGAGGACCTCCAAGCTGTGGGGTGACGTCTCGGAGGTCAGAAGCCCAATTCGCTCGGGCCCGAAGGCAAACGTGATCAGCGAATTGAACTCAATCCTACAGCAAATGAACCGAGAGAAATCGGCCAAGCCGGGGGAAGCACTGGATTCGCCCACGGGCACCAAGCCCGCCAGCCTCGCTCCCAGGTAAGTCCCACAGTCGGCTTAGACAGAGACTGCCCCCTGCCGGCCTTCCCATCCCGCCCAGTCAGTGCTGGCCAGGAAGTGCCCTTGGGGAGCAGCCGGAGCGGACACGCGCGGGCCACGCCTGTCACACAACGCTTGCGTCCCTTTCCCCTCCTGTCCTGGACGCCGGCACAGCCGAGTGCGGACCGCATCCACGCTGGCAGGACGTGGCTCTCCCGCGTAAAGACCTGTGATGGAAGGCGGCCGGCCACGGCAGACCATCCCTGCCCTGGCTTCCAAAGAGGAGCACTGCTCCCTGTGGTTCTGTCCTCCAGACCCTTGCCGGGACCCCCACCCCTCCCCCCGCCCCGTAAGGCCATTCTGGAGCCTCGCAGAAGCCAAAACGGGTGAGCTCCACCAAGCCGGTGGCGGGGGAGTAACCGTGCCCATGGAGGGCGAGCGGGTCGGGGCGCGCACACGTGCGCGTGTGTGGTGAAGCGTGCACGGATCCTTCTCGCCTCCTTCCGTCGCCGACCGGCCGGAGGGCTGGGGAGGTGCCAGGCTGTGGCTTCACTAGTCAACTCGGAGGGAAATGGCAGCCCCCGGCCGGCAGGCGTCACGGAAGGAGGCGGCCGGTTGCCCACGGGGTAGCCAGTCACAGTCTGACGCAGAGTTCGAGGTGCTGCCGTCGCGGCTGGGGGTAGAATGTGAGGGGCCACTTGTGAGGCTCTGCCCAGGCACGCCACGCCCTAGAGCGGGCCGCTGGCTCTCTGCCTGGAGCCTCTGCCCAGACCCTGGGGGTGCCGGGCGCTCCCCCCGCTGTCCCGGGAGCCCGTTGTTTGCTGGCCTCCGCTGACGTCCGCGCCTAGGTGTTGACGCTTTGACTAACCCGTCTTCTCCGTACTCCCGTTGGACAGGCGCTTGACTCACACGTCTTGGGCCGTTAACCAGCAACACCACACCGTGGTCGGGCCTGCACGTGCGGGCCAAGAGCCACGGTTTCCCCAGCTGTCTTTCCGTATGGACGTAAATCAACTTCTCACGTGGCTCGCGTTACACCCGGGAGAAACACCGATTGGCCGGCCGTGGTAGAAAGAAGCAGCACGGTAACACGCTGTCTTTGCATAGAGAATCCACCACCAACTGTGAGGTTCAAACAGTACCGCCAGCTGAAGACAGAGTCCGCGGAAGACCCCATTTCTGGCAGACGTCTACACACAACTTCAAATGTTATAAACTCGAAAGTCCTAAAGGACTTAAAAGCGGTCGGTTTTGCCCCTTCCCCTTAGGTAACAGTACAGCTCTTCACCGCTACCTGACGTGAGAGCACAAGTATTCGGATGCTTTCTCCTCGTGTTTCACACCGTACCGGGTGCTGGCATGTGAGCGAGGCGTCTTGAGGACACTGACTGGGGAGCAGGGGGGCAGGTAGGGACTGTACCCATTCCCCAGGAAGAGTGACCGAGACGCCGAGTGGCAGGTCCCCGCGCGCGGCGGGAGGCCGAGTGGGGACCCGGGCTGAGGTCTCCGCCTGGCGCTTCGCCTCCTTAGCCACGTCTGAGCACGGGAGAGTCCCGAGGGAGGAGTCCAGGGCTCAGGCTGCCGAGGCTCCCCTCCCCGGTCCAGGGGCCTCCTCCGTGCCTTCCCCAACCGGGTGAGCCCCCCGGGGGTCGGGGGCAGCGGGCGTCGAGCTGCGCCTCCCCAGGGCTTCCCCGCCTGCGCTCCCCTAGCGGGGAGGGGCCTCGGGGCACACGTCACCCGGCGGAACCCGCCGGATTTCTGGAGAGCTGCTGCAGGGCCGCCTCCAAGCGGTGCTCAGGAGCCAAGGACAGCCGCCCCCGGTCCGTTCTGCTATTTATAACCCAATTCACTCACAACGCGAACATCAGCCGGCACCTACTGAGGCCTCACCAAATGCCGGGCCCCGTGCTCTGCGGGGCCTGAGCTTCTGCCCGGTGAGCACGGGAGCAAACCGGAGGCCGAGAGGGGGAGCGCCTGGCCAGGGTATTCCACCGGAAGGCAGAGAGCCCGACCTCCGACCCAGGGGGCGTCTCAGGGTCCGACTCCTGCGCCCTTGGAGGAGCCAGAGAACAGCCTGGGAGGAAGGCGCGGCCGGGCAACCTGCCGGCAGGGCTGAGTTCGCCGAGGGTGGCTCGCCCGAGCCCAGCCGCACACCCAAGGCAGCTCTCTGCTGGTCACCAGACGGCCTCCGGCACCGATGAGCACCCGCAGCTGGCGTCCTATCCTCTGCTCTCGGCCAAGGCTGGCACGTCGGTGGCAGCCGATGGCCTCGAGGCCCAAGGACGGAGAGGAAAGTCATTGCCTTTGGGCACTAAACTGGGCATTCTGCTGGCCACGGAGGCTTTGCTGATCCCACGGCCTCACCAGGCAAAGCCCTAAGTGGATGTGGGCTGCTGACAAGGGTGAGGCTGGTGACAGCTGCTGGGCAGGGGACGGGAGGGGAGGCCGGGCTGCCCCCTCGCTTGCGGGTCTGTCCCCGGGGCAGGCCTCTCCCCTGCTGGGTCTTGCCTTGGTTGTCAGACTTGGGTATTTGCCCATTTGGGGAGCAGACACAGCCTGCAAACTCACCCACCAGGACGCTAGGACTCTCCCTGCCACGTCTAAATGCATCTCGAGGCTCCTGCCGGCACGGCCCTGGCGGCGTGAGGCCCGGGCCCGCGCTGAAGGGCGTCCTCCTGAGGACAGGGAAAGGTTTTTCTAGGCAGACAGAGGGGCGGCCGTGTGCGCGAATCGCATCCCCACAGAAACGGTGTGGTCTCCCGAGAGAGGGCCGAGCTTTGGAGCTCACCCCTTTGGGGTCACCTGCCCCCTCGGGTCCTTCTTAACAAGTGCGGTGAGACCCTCACTTCTCACCAGAGCCCAGGGTGGGACAGGGGTGACGAGAGCGACAGTCCCTCGCTAACGGGGGACACGTGTGTCCATTCCCTGAGATCGGAGACGACACGGGTCTGGGGTGTCTGATTACGAATACCTGGTAAGAAGGTGAGCAGGCAGCCTTCCCGCGGACTATCGTGGGAGGCGCCTCCTCGGACCACCTGGAAACACCCCACCAGGCAGGCAGTTCAGGGGAAAGGGCGCCTTTGGCCCCCCCAGGCTGACTTTTCCAGGAAGCAGCCTCAACTCTGAAGAGAGTGTCAACGTAGATCAAAAGGCAGGGAGTGGGTGAGGACGCGGCAGAGCCCCGGCCGCTCCCGGGAAGCTCAGAGTCAGGGTGCCGGCCCGGCCACCCTCCCTCCACCGTGCTGGAGGGTCCCCACGAGTGGTGTTCTCCCCGCTGGGGAGTGCCTGACGTTTTGCCGGAGGTGGCGTGGCGAGGGCAGGCTCCCCCAGGGCAGAGCTGGGAAGCGACGGGACACCATCCTTGGGCCCGGAAGCCTCACTGGCCGGGAGTCCCCGGGCTGCAGTGTGGTAGGAACCAGTGCCAGGCCGGAAGGCCGAGCGGAGCAGGAGGGGTCCACACCCGCAGGGGCCCGGGCCCTGGGACACTGGGCAGCAGACGCACGGTTAGTGATCGTCTCTCCTGAGCCTTGGGACCCACCCCCGAACCAGACGACATTCCAGGTCTCTCCTCTGGGGAGCTGCGCTCGCGAGGGGGAAAACAGACAATAAGTGATGAGACAAACCCAGAGCACAGCAAGTGCCACAAAGGAATGAAAGTATATTCACGAGTCGAGTCGGAGTGCGCATGGGCAGGAAGGAGGTGACCGTCCTTGAGGAAGGGACCTTTGAAGGACCTGAAATACGAAAAGGAGCCAGCTGTGTGGAAAACCAGGAGCGGAGCGTCCCAGGCACGGGGGACGCGAGCACAAAGCCCAGAGGCCAGAAAGCGCTCTCCACACCGAAGAAACTGAGGCCCCCGGAGAGGGCTGGCAGGCCGTGGGGGGTGGCGGAACTGCGTTCCGAGCCACGGCGGCCATCCCGGGCTTGCTCCAGGCTTAGCCTGACCTCAGCTCCGTGTCATGAGGATTACCGGCAGCCAGGCGGCTCTCGTGGTGGCACAGGTACCCTTCAGCAAACTGCTTCAGGGTCCACGTGCAAAGGCCAGCGGTGCTGCGCTCTGCAGACGAGGGGGTAGATTCGAAGGCCGAGGGCCTCAGGAACACGGAACAGCTCCGTTGGCCTGACTTACACGCTGTGGCGCCCCAGACATTGTTTCCAAAGCGAGATACGCACGCTGCTCTTTGCCCAGCACCCCCATGGCCCCAGAAAGTCAGTCTCACTGTGACCCTGTGTGTGCCGGGAGGAACAAGGACAGCACAAGCTGGTGGGGGTCCCCGTCTGGCTCCTGTACGGAGGGCCTGGCATCAGCTGGGTCCCCAGGCCCCTCCGGATCACCTACCTTTCTCGGTGGGCCCAGCGGTAACGTGGGCCTGGCCCTCCCCGCCGCCCAGACACAGATGGGCTTGTGGGGGAGGAAAGTCATCCCCTGGAGGCCCCGGGGGTGGGGGTACAGGCTGCCTGGAGGTGTGAGCAGGGCCCAGTCCTCGGGAAAGCGGCCCTCAAGCTCCTGGCTGCCCTTCTGAGGCCCCCACATGGCCGCCCCCCCGTGTCAGCCCTCGCCTGGCCCCTGCCTCCGGCTCTACGGCAACTCTGCAATATTGGTCCTGAGAGCCTCCTGGTTTTAAAATAAATCAATTTGGGTTGTTAAAAAATTATCTGTGCCCAGCTGGTCCCAGAGCACAGGCTTCAAACCTGGCTCAGTAACAGAAGCTGCTTAATGGCATTTTCATAACCTCAGTGCCGTCAGGCCGGCTTTATCATCTCGTGGCCCCCGACTGAAGTGTTCAGGGGATGTCGGTGCAGATAATTAGGCGAGTGCTACTTACAGGGGCTCGCGAAATTTGCTTTCGGTGTGTTTTCTCGTAGACCGTGTTCCAAGAGGGTTCTCCCGGCCCGGCTGCGGGCTGCCCCTTGCTCACGCGACCTCCTGTTGCAAGTCTGGTCCTTAGGGTCTCTCTTTCCGGTCTGGACGTTCGGATCGGTCCGCGGGAATGCGTCAGGGGGTGAATGCTTCTCCCTGAAACCTGGGTTCCTTCTTGACCTGCTTGGACGTGAATGTTCCGGCGGGAGGACCCAAGGCACCCGCTCATGCACCCGGTCCGGCTCTTGTAACCTTGGTCATGTCACTTAACACGCCAATCAGGAAACAAGCTTAACTGTCTCCACCCGCCATCCACACAGCAACGACACTGCACACTGACTGTGGGCCAGAGCCCGGCGGATGCAGACAGACTGGGGCCCTCGGGGTGCTCAGGGCCCGGGGTGGCTGTGAGTTCTGGGCATCAGAGGCAGCAACAGGCCCCAGGCGTGGAGTCGGGGAGAGACACCGATGGCAGCGCTCGGACCTCGGGCAGGCTTGGTCCTGACTTGGTTCTCCTCCCCATCCCCCGTGTGTCTGTAATGCCCCACCTGTCGAAACGCTGTGCAGACAGCTCCAGCGCGGACAGCAGACACGCCGAGCCATCGTCACTGAGCGGCCTCTGGCCCACGTTCAGTGGTGATTGTTCCGGAGCGAGACGGAATTTGTAAACACAGTGAAAAAGCCACTTGACTTTGCCTTCCCCCATCCCAGGTACCCGGTACTGACTGATGGCATAACAGCACGTCTCTGTGTATGTCCCTGGTTAGCTCTCAGTTCTTGCTTTAATTCCGCTTCCATGTGGATTTGATCTAAAAGGCGGCATAGAGAGTGCTGATCCAAGGGAGTGTGTGTGTGTGCGCGTGCGCGCGTGTGTGTGTCTGTGTTCCAAATGAGGGCAACAGATTCCTGTGTGTTCCACCCGGGAACCCAGCAGTTGCTTAGCAACGTAATGATCTCTGCAACCAGGAGGATCCTGTGAATACTGTTAGCGTGGGGAAACGAGAGTAACAGAGCTACCGAGAAGGAGGGCAGGATGGGCCAGCCCAGGGCCGGCCTTCACTCTGCCTCTCCGACTCTCCTGGTTACTCTTTCCGGGGCGATATCCCGCAGGGGTCGGGGGCCGGCCCCAGACACGTGGCCAGATCTGATGTCCCCCCATCGTTAGCCGCCAGGCTCTCATCTCCTACCGTGTAGATTTGCAGCAAAGCACGGGAACCCAAGGGGCGCCCTCCCGCACAGGGCACGTTGATTCGGCCTTCACGCTGCCGGCGCGGAGCCCAACTTGGGGCTCGAACTCATGAACCAGGAGGTCGTGACCTGAGCCCAAACCGAGAGTCAGAGGCTCGACCGCCTGAGCCACCCAGGCGTCCCCCGTGTTGTCTCCTTCTCGACAGGCTTTCCCTGACGACGGTCTTCTCTGTACTTACGTGCTCCCAAGCCACAGAAGGCAGGGTCGTGAATTTCCCATTGTAACCACGAAAGCAAGGCCCGTGTTCATCCTCCGCTCCGGGCTGCCGTGTGGACCGCCCACTCGGCCTGCCTCCTTGGCCAAAAAGGACGAGCGTCAGTAGATTCTCGGCCAGTGTCCGTACCACTGCTTTCGTTTCATCTGTTGAAAGAAGCTGCTCTGTTTTAATTTTAATTAATTTTGCAGTGTTGTCTCAAGCCATTCCATTCTGTCATTTTCACGTGCTCTCGTGATGGGTGTTAACAGAAGAGGGTCGTGCTGAGCAGAAGTAAGTGCCGCCCGCGAAACTGCCTTGACCTCTGGGGTGTGCTGCTGTCCCTCCCTGCTGCCCACCCACGTGTGGCGGAACCTCCTCTTTGCCTCTGACGCCAGACGCAGCCGCCTGCGAGCTTTCCTTCGAAAATGAACACTCCCAGCTAAGTGAGGACGGTTGGGATACTTGCAGTGGGTGAGCGGTGCCGACCAGCGGCCTCTGCTCAGAGACGCCCCCACGCCCTGGCCATGGGGCCCCGGCTTGGGGACCGACTCTCACACCGTACCGCTGTGCTGGGGCCGCCCGGAGCCGGGGTCCAGGGTGCCGTCGCCACACCACGTCACCTTGGGAGAAGGCACCCCGGGACTGTTGCCCCGAGGCAGTGCCCGAGCAAGGGGGCTCTTGTGGGAGGCTCGCCCACTCTCCACGGCACGGCTGTCCTCCCGCAAAGGTCCTTGGCCCGAGTTACCAACTCGGATCGCCTCTGGATGGAGCAGCCTCGCGTTGACTCGTGATTTCATCTCCACCATCTTGGCTTAATTGCTGTTATCGCAGCAGAACGAACGGGTCTTCCCCTGAACAGATGGGCCCTGCCGCTGTGCCCTACCACCGGGGGGCAGGCAGAGAGGCCGCGCTAAAGAGCACCCCACGGCGTTAGCCGCGGCCCAGGCTGGCACCGGAGTGGGTTCTCTCCAACCTGCTCAGGCACCAGAATCTGCAGGCTTCTCCTTAAATCTTTGCTGCGTCCACAGCCGACCCCTCCCTCGGGAACCCGGATCTAGATACGGGAGGTGCCGGTTCCCTCTCCCCGCGTGGGGGGCCGGACGCCAGCAGGGCTCCTCCCCCTTGATGCTGAGTAGCCCAGCCTGGCAGTAGCACATGGGTGGTCTTTACCCTCCGGTATAACCAGCACCCACAGCCCCCGGGGCTTCTCGACCGGGTTAACAGACCCCACCCGGGGCGCCTGACCCCCAGGAAGCTGCCTGTGGATGGGGCGGGGGGGGGGGGTCCCTTGACAACTGCTGCTCCAGCGTTCCGTGCTTAAAGCCACAACGGCTGCCACCGAGTGGGGAAGTGCCACGAGGCTTAGAGGCCTCGAGGCAGCCGACTGGTGGTTATACCCAACTCTATCAGTGGCAGAGAAAACAAACAGCAGCAAAAGGAAAGCTGAGGCAGAGAGCAGGCAGAGCGGGCCGAGTGCCCAGCTCACCCCTCCCTTCACAGAGGCCCCCCCATCCCTGTCCTTGTCTGTTTTCACCGCCCACCACGTTAGCACCTGTGCCACTCTCCCCGCGCTCCCGAGCAGGCCCCCGCTCTCGCCGGCTGGGAGGGAGGGGACCCCAGCTCACACACGGAGACGAAGGCTCACAACGCGCACCCACTGGTGTTTGGCCGGGATCTTTCCGGAAGGGGGCGGGTGGTCCATCCACACTCCCGTGAATGAGCCCAAAAGGCAAGAAACCCACAGCTGCTCTCGCCGCCTCTCCAGGGGCTCTGGCTGTCCCCGGGCAGCGGCACGGATATGCCTTCAGTTTGGGGGCAGCAGGGAAGAGGGTGAACCGGAGCCCGGGGG